GTGTTTTAATTCCTCTTTAGTATATTAAAAAATGTCAGTCATTAAAAAAAATTTTATTCACACTTATTTTACTTAATATTATTCCTTCTGGAAGCTCTAAAATGATGATATGGGAAATGTTTTATGTGCATTTTAGGGGGTGAGTTATCAGCTTTTCATCATACGATGAATAGGAGAAAAGATTTGTATGTAAATAGGAGACAAGAACAAGCCAAGAAAAGCTTGTTGCCAGGAACAGAGATTAAAGACTTGTAGGGGTTGTTTGCTCAGGACAAATGGAGTGAGAATGAACATGATCTGATAATGTTTGGCTTTAATGAACTGTACACTATCAAGGCAGAGTTTTGGCTGAAACAGTGCTACTTTGAATATAATATAAAATAAAGGTGATTAATTGCTCCCCTTTGGATTAAAATAAGCAAACTTCAGCAATTATATTTCTAACCATTCAGGATAAAGATAATGTCCTATTCATAAGTCCCATGGCAATCATACTAAAAAGATCTGTATGTTTCTAAATGTGTTTGCATATTATACCTCCTAAAAATTCAGTTGAGAATGCAGTGGATTTGGATGCTACTATTTCAATGAATGCCCTAACAGTACTTCTATTCTGTTTCCCTATTAGAATTCACTTCCCAAAAATACCACTTAAACATAATAAAATAGGTATATTACAAGAAATGGGGTATCGTGGCAAACCTTTGAAAATATACACACTAACTTATGTGTCAATTCCTGTCTGTGCATGCTAACTCTGTGCATAGAATATGAAGGTAGAAGTCAGGATTTGCATAGGTGTGCTGAAGTTTGTGCTTGTACTATTTAGCATTCACACTGTTGATAATTTGGCCTTCTGCAGTTTATGGCTAGCCCTCTTATACTAACACAAATGCAATATCCACAGTCCTAATGAATGGGAAAAACCAAACAAAACAGAGAGAGAAAAAACAACTGCTAGTTCTTTCAGTCCATCCCTTATCTGATGAAGGCTTGTTTCTCACACTATAATGTTTTGTCTATTTTTAAATTACTGAGTTGAATGGCCTTCTACTACTTGCCTTGGGAGAGAGTTTTTCACAGGCTAATACACTCTTTCCATTTTGTACCACTACTCCGAGTTAAAACACTTTGGACCACCCTGAAGTTTTCCTCCCAATTTAGTATAATCTATTAATGTAATTAGTATACTGTTTATTCCTCTTTCAGATAATTAATGAAGATGTTGAGTAAGAGGGAGTCTAACACTAATCCCTAAGGCAACCACTAAGCATTCCTGTAAAACATGATACAGTGCTGTTTATCATTACTCTGTGCTTATTTTCTTTCAGAAATTGTTCAGTTCAAGTCAGCCTGAAATACTGTTTTTTCAGGTATAACTATGTAAAATAGTATATCCCCATGCTTTAGTGAAGTTCAGGAACATCACTTTCTTCAGAGAATCAGTAAATGTCATCAGGTTTGTCTGGCATGATACTGACTGTTCATTGTTCCATTATCTTCTGAATTGCTAGAGATGCTTCTCTCAACTGGTCCATGTTTTATAAGGGATTAAAGCTACACATAACTGATAATTACTAGGTTCAATCTCTTTCTTATTTTGAAGTTCTAGTAGAATATTTGGCTTTGATTTTCTTTCCCCTGGTTGTCTGTTACTATGAGTAAGGCCACACTGCGATAAATGTCACTAGGAAGTTTGCACAAAAATCAAGCATACAGCATGGCTTTTATGTAGAAACTAAAACATTTACTTATTATTGCTAAGTGCCTTATTTTGATGTTCTCTCAGTGGAACTCACTCAGGTCACCTTTCTGACCACTGCAATTAGGAGGTGCATTTGCAGCACATGTAGGCATACCCAAGCTAGCTTTGATTGCCCGCACTTGCTAAAAATAGCAAAGTAGCTGTGGTGGTATGGGTGGTGGCACAGGCTAGCCACCTGAGTACAATCCCACCTGGGACCATAAGTAGGTACACAGGGGGCTATCCTGTGTCACCACCTATTCCACCACAGCAACACTGCTATTTTTAGTGAGCTAGCATGATTAGAGGTAGTCTGGGTGTGCCTACTTATACTGTCCCAACTGCAGCATAGACATATCCTGTGTTTCTGTTGTTTGCATTTCCCTTGCTATAGGCTGACTATATATACACCTCTACCCCGATATAACGTGACCCGATATAACACGAATTCGGATATAACACGGTAAAGCAGTGCTCTGGGGGGGCGGGGCTGCATGCTCCGTTGGATCAGCGCGTCAGAGTGTCTGGCTCTGACACGCTGCTCTGAGTGATGTGTTAAGGGTGCCAGGCTGGGGCAGAGGGGTTGGATAAGGGGCAGAGGGTCTTGGGGGGCGGTCAGGAGACAAGGAGAAGGGGGGGTTGGATGGTTTGGAGGTTCTGGGGGCAGGGCAGTCAGGGGACAGGGAGCAGGGGGGTTGGGTATGGTTGGGGTCCTGGGGTGATTAGGGATGGGGGGTCTCTGGAGGGGGTGGTCAGGGGACAAGGAGCAGGGGGGCTTAGATAGGGGGTGGGGTCTTGGGAGGAGTGTTTGGGGCGGGGGGTCTCTGGAGGGAGTAGTCAGGGGACAAGGAGCGGGACGGGGTTGATGTGTCGGGGGTTCTGAGGGGTCAGTCAGGGGGCGGGAAGTGATTATTAATAACGGAAATGCTCGAGGCCAAAGCAAGTTCGATATAACGCGGTTTCACCTATAACATGGTAAGATTTTTTGGCTCCTGAGGACTGCATTATATCGGGGTAGAGGTGTCTATACACATACACACCAGAGATTGCAAGCATGATTATTCTTTTTTAAATACAAGATAGGTTAGAATCCCCAAAAAACATTTACTTTACATTAATAGTATATACAAGCTGTCATTTGAAATAGATTAATGCAAGAAATAATTAAATGTTGCTAACAAATACTAATAATAAATATTATTTGTAATTATTAATAATACTAATAAATACTAACAAATATCAAGTAAAGTTAGATTAATAAAGTAAAGGTATTTATTTTATCCAACCAAAGTGATGGCACTAAATTCAACCCTGATGTCTTCAGAAACAAAACTATTTTGAATGAAAGCATCATTGTTCATATTGTCAAATCCAATATGGCAGAAGCTGAGAAAGTACTGTTGTTAGGATATAGATATTCACACCTGTCTGTAAAGGCCTATACTCTAAGAATTTAAGTGTATTCTTATCACTTGGCTGGTTATAGAGGTATAAAAGAAAGAATCAAAATCACCATCTGCCGGTGTAAGGGCCTTCTCTTACTGTGACAGTCTGAGGTCCTGTGCTTAGGCTAAGGCCCTTGGCTAAGCAGCAGAGGCAGCCATAAGCTGGGAAGTGAACAGTCACATCCTCACATTCCAAACTAGTCACATTGAAATCAGGTGCTATTGGGCTGTTAGGAATACAATCCTGTCCTGATAATACCTATTGCATCCAGAGAAAGGGAAGTGCCTAGAAAATGTAAAAGGAAACTTACTTCGATAGCATCCTGTCTGGCAAGAACTCACTTATCAATAGCTGGGATGTGAAATCCTCATTTCTTTGTTGTTCTATCACTGTAGTCCCCATTTACCTATTGTTTGTCTGTATAATCTCTGTCTGGTTCTGTGATTGTTTCTGTCTGCTGTATAATTAATTTTGCTGGATGTAAACTAATTAAGGTGTGGGATATAATTGGTTAAATAATCATGTTACAATATGTTAGGATTGGTTAGTTAAATTTCAGTAAAATGATTGGTTAAGCTAAGAAGAGCTCAAGTTTTACTTTATAGTCTGCAGTCAATCAGGAAGTTTGTGTGTGTGTGTGGTGGGGGAAATGGGAACAGGGAATGGGGCTGGGGAAATTGGAATCATGTTTAGCTAAGGGCAGGAATGGGAACAGGGCCACAGGTAAGGATCTGTGGTGTCAGAGCTAGGAAGAGGGACACTCAGGAAGAAAACTGGAATCATGCTTGCTGGAAGTTCACCCCAATAAGCATGGAATTGTTTGCACCTTTGGACTTTCGGTATTGTTGCTCTCTGTTCATGCGAGAAGGACCAAGGAAGTATGTGGGTGAAGGAATAAGCCCCCTAACAACTGTGTGGTCACAGTCTTCCTTCCCTCCATTTCACTTTCCCAAAATATTGAGTGTTATATTTTTTAAAATCTTGCAAGTCTCAGGTGCAGATTCTGAAATCACTTACATGTGTGCTTAAATTTCAGCACATGAGTAGTCTCAAAAGAGTTACATAAAAAAAAGAGACTACCTGGGTGCTTAAGGTTAACCACATCAGTGTTTGCAGGATCAGAGTGTGAACAGCCGACCCTCTTCTATGAGATGATAAACTCCCTGAATGCACATTGAATACTCATGTCCTCAGAAGTCGGAGAAATTCACACCCCAAAAGTGACCGTTCACATTTGAAGTAGATTTGTTGTGTGTGCCCTTCCAAGGTGTCATTCCTGTTGATTTCATGATGTAGAAAATATGCAAATTACTGGTTGATATAATATGTTGTGTTATTCTCCTGAACAGAGCAAATTCAAACTTAATCTTTAATAGTTTTATTAAATTCTAGGCACAGCTTCTTTAATTATACCAGTTCCTGTAAATTTGTTCCAGGCCAAAAAAAAAAAAAAAGATGCTAAGTAGCTTCTAGAATTTCTATTTTACTGTCTGAGCAAGACTAATGAAAAATGTGAATCACACTTTCCAGATAATTTAATGAAATCATTCATTAGTGAGAAATGACATTTGTGTTCCATATTAAATAAGTCCTTTGTGCATGGAAAGTATCTCTCTTAATTTGCTTAAAATTGGTACCAATCTATTAGGTTTACTGGATGATTCCTGATCGTTATGCCATTGGCATTTTCACAAGAAAATTAGTTTAAAATGTTACACTGTTCCAAACAGTGTGCTTAAACAAGTGCTGAAGCAATATATGTCATTATTTAAGTCTTTCACTTAACATACTGCTTTTGTAACCCCAACAGCTGACCAAACAGGAATGTTATTTATAGGAGATGCACTAATACAGGTCAGTAAATTGTACATTTATTCCATACACATACTTGTTTTAAGCAAGTTTTAATGTTTATTTTTATTATGTTATTTATATGTTACAAATCACTTTCTTTCTATGGTATATTCATTTTTAGGTTAATGGCATAAATGTAGAAAGTGCTACCCATGAAGAAGTGGTAAGTTTTATGTAACTTTCATACTTTAATACCAGATGAAATATTTGAGGTGCATATAAAAATAATGAAAATTATGGCATGTTGTATTCAGTATGGCCCTGCGCTTGTATTTCCTTAAATGGGAACTTTGCCATTGACTTCAGTCACATCTGGATCTCACACTATATCACTACAAAATAGATACTGCACAAAAAACTGCTTAAATCCATAGGAAAGAGATGCTGCAACACAGTTCAGATACCTGACATTATCTTTCTAATACAGGAAAAGTTTCTTTCATATAAACCATTCATAAGGCTACTACTCACGCTTGAAAATGGCTCATAATACATTAAGACATTTGTCAAGGTTCCTTACCCACTCTGAACTCTAGGGTACAGATGTAGGGACCTGCATGAAAGACCCCCTAAGCTTATTCTTACCAGTTTAGGTTAAAAACTTCCCCAAAGTACAAACTTTGCCTTGTCCTTGAACCGTATGCTGCCACCACCAAGCGTGGTAAACAAAGAACAAGGAAAGAGCTCACTTGGAGACGTCTTCCCCCAAAATATCCCCCCAAGCCCTACACGCCCTTTCCTGGGGAAGGCTTGATAAGAATCCTCAGCAATTTGTACAGGTGAACACAGACCCAAACCCTTGGATATTAAGAACAATGAAAAAGCAATCAGGTTCTTAAAAGAAGAATTTTAATGAAAGAAAAGGTAAAAGAATCCCCCCTGTAAAATCAGGATGGTAAATACCTTACAGGGTAATCAGATTCAAAACATAGAGAATCCCTCTAGGCAAAACCTTAAGTTACAAAAAGACACAAAAACAGGAATATACATTCCATCCAGCACACCTTATTTTACCAGCCATTAAATGAAAGGAAATCTAACGCATTTCTAGCTAGATTACTTACTAACTTAACAGGAGTTGTAAGGCTGCATTCCTGATCTGTGCCCAACAAAAGCATCACACAGACAGACAAACCCTTTGTTCCCCCCCCCTCCAGATTTGAAAGTATCTTGTCCCCTCATTGGTCATTTTGGGTCAGGTGCCAGCGAGGTTATCTGAGGGCATGTCTACACTACCCGCCAGATCGATCTATCGGGGATCGATTTATCGCATCTAGTGTAGACGCGATAAATCGATCCCCGATCGCTCTGCCGTCGACTCTGGAACGCCACCATGGCGAGAGGCAGAAGTGGAGTCGATGGGGGAGTGGCGGCCATCGATCCCGCACCGCGAGGATGTGAAGTAAGTGATTCTAAGTCTATCTAAGATGTGTCGACTTCAGATACGCTATTCTCAAAGCTAAAGTTGCATATCTTAGATCAATTTCTCCCCTTCCCCCAGAGCTTCTTAACCCTTTACAGGTGAAAGGGTTTTGCGTCTGGCCAAGAGGGATTTTATAGCACTGTATACAGAAAGGTGGTTACCCTTCCCTTTATATTTATGACAACATCCATGTGCCTACACAAGAATAAACAGTTTTATTCTTTAAGGCCTACTGCTGAAAATATGAAGGCTATGCATTGTCAGTTGGTCTATGGTACAGTTGTAAACATCAAAAAGATAATTTCCACATGCATTCACAATCTAGTATGAATACATTGAAAACAATTTGCTATTCCCATATTTGATGGGATACACCGTTCATCACTGGGCTGGTGCCACCTTCTGGTACTCTGGGGATTAGCCTGAGGCCAATGCCAATCCCTCCATCTCTGTTGTCCCCCTGAAGCCCCTTTTGCAGCCTCAGGAACCACAGCGTCTATCTGTGTTTCCCCCTTCTGAGTGGATTTAGCTCCTCAATAGTCCCAGGCAGTTTTCTTGCTCATGGCTTCAGTGCCATTCACCCAGTGGCTGGTCGGGGAACCCAGGCCTGATTACTTCTCCAGGTTCCAGCCCAGGGACCTTCAGCTCAGCAGTCTGGGCCTTCTCTCTCTCTCTCTGGCCTCACTGCTCTCTCCCTGGGTTGCTTCCTACTAATGGTTCCCCTTTTCTTCCTGGGCCTACCAGTTCCCAGAGTCTCCTCACTTTTCCCAAGGAGCGACTGCAGCTTGCAGTCCCTACTCACTCCTCCCTTCCTCATGGGAGTGTCCACTTTTTTCCAGTAGCCCCTTCTGCTTTCAACTCCTGAGCTTTATAGGAACCATCTATTCCTATCCAGCTGAGCCTCCTTAATTAGTTGCCTAATTGGTTAATTGGCTCATCTGGCCTGCATTAAATCATGCAGGGTGAGTGTGGGGCAGATACCCATTACATCATATGTAAGAAAAAGGTAGAAAATCTACCTACCATATTAGAGCCCTTCCAGCATTGAGAATATATTGAAATGCCCATCTGATAGGTCTTGCAAAGCTCCCATTGATTTCAGTAGTGCAGAATCAGGCGCTGAAGTTGGTTCTATAAGCAATCGGATTCCTAGCTTTAGGTGCTCACATTTGAAAATTGGGTTCTCCTGTGGGAAAAGGGCTTGATCCTTCATGGTGCTGATCACTCTCCATTTCCACTGACTTCAGCAGGAGTGGAGTGGACTCAAGACTTTGTAGTAGTGCTCAGCACCTTGAAGGATTGAGCCCTGTAAGGACTGAGGAGTAGAGAATACATTCAAGCAAGTAGATTTTGCTGTTTGCAGAATCAAGTAACTTTTCTGCTTAATTCCAAAGAAGCATTATCTTGTTGAAAACATGGGGATATCTCAGCGGCAAATACTAATGTACAGAGTGAACAGTATCATGTGAAGCTGTGACTTGATGATAAGACATTACATGACCTTTTGTAACTTGGAGGCTCTCTGAGGCAGGAACCATTTATGTTGTTGTATGTGTACAGTGCCTAGCACAATCTGTCATGAGGACCTCCAGATATTATCGGAATACAAATAAAAACAACATGTCAATAAACATGATGTGTAATTAATAAGGATTATTCAGTCTTTCCATAAATGCCTTAGCTTGACTTTTGGATGTAAAGAATACAATATTTGTAGTGGAGGGAATGGGAGGAATAGAGAAAGCATAGTTAATATACAGTAATTTAGAATTTCAGTTCCAGATATAAATCATATATCAGATGTGCAGAAAGATCATTTGTTTGTTGCCAAATAAAGTATGTAAGGGTTAGTCCAAGGGGGAGAGGATTGTTCCATTTTAGTCCAGCAAGTTTCCTAAGTAAAAGTCAAAGATAGTTTTGAACTGGGAATGTAGAAAATTTGGGGGGGGGGGGGAGGGATAGCTCAGTGGTTTGAGCATTGGCCTGCTAAACCCAGGGTTGTGAGTTCAATCCTTGAGGGGGCCGTTTAGGGATCTGGGGCAAACACTGGGGACTGGTCCTGCTTTGAGCAGGGGGTTGGACTAGATGACCTCCTGAGGTCCCTTCCAACTCTGATATTCTATGATTCTATGAAAATTAAAAAAAAAGTCTGAGACATACTTGCTTTTCCTTTGTTTTGCTGATGCGAGCTAATTTTTCGGATGCCCTAATTCCAATGATTTTTGTATCGTTTTTTATGAGCCTTAAAGTGAATGGAACTATGATAGAAGACAGAACAATGTACTACCTCTAGTTAGAACATTTATTTTGATAACATTCATCTGGGGTATTCAAAAAAAGGACCGTCTTCCAGTGACTTAAATTCAGGGGAGAAATATGATTTCTCATAAGTAGATCAGAAAGATTACCTGATATTATTATGCCTATTTGATTGAGCATTTGTTTTACTTAAAATAAAAAATTATCAAAAGAGGTTTTCTTTATTGTTTTATAGAACTGAGATGGCAAGAGCATCTGTCTTATCATAATTGAAGGGAAGTTTCACATTGGGGAAAAACAAATTCTCTTATCTCTGCTTCATTGAAAAGGGTATTCTTTTTTAAATGAATTGTGGTTGCATTCTTTTGAAGAAAACACTATAAAACACGGAATTATCCTTTTACTATAGAACACATTACTCTTTTATGTAATTCTTGTCATATACTTGTCAATGCTTAGATACCATGGTGATAGGCACCTTAGAAATATCTCAGACAGCTGGATAATTGGGCAAATGTCATTAAAGCCATTACCACTGGAAATCACACATTGGAGACTAGAAAAATTATAAGCAAAGAGTTACTACTTTTATGTGCAGAAAACTTTACCATCAAACTTAATAAAGTATTGCCTAAAACAATAAAGTTTAATAGATCCAGACAAGCAGTGGGTAATGATACTACTTGTGCCTTATTTGGCATGTATCATGATTATTGGGCCAAATGCTGAGCACAGGCATTCTCATTGTTATCAGTAAGAATGCAGAATGCTCAGCTCCTCTAAGGATTTGTTCCATTATTATTGCCATTATTAAATGTGTTTTTAAAGCACACACCACCATAATGTTTACCATCTCTCTAAGCTAATAGTGTTTGCTATAGCACATTTGATTGATCAGCCTGATTGTATGCAAGATTAAATCTGGTTCATTTTCAGACTACATACAGCACTTATCTGGAACCCAACCCAACACAGTAGTGATTAAAAGTGCTCACCAGCTGACAACTGTTCATTGGCTATGTGGAAATGAATAATGGTAGCCTAAACCTAGTTCCTGGTGGACAAGTTTTCACATCTGAAAAAAACACCCTTACAGCTGGCAGTAATGGCACTAACTTTTGATGGTCTCATCAAAAAGGTGAAGGACTGAATGGGCAAAGAGACTGAACTTCCCCTTTCTTATCTAGATATGATCCTAGGTCAGGGTTAAAGTACTATTATGTGACCTCACGGTCTATTTCCTGGTGGATAAGCCTAATCAGGCCAAATCCCCAAAACACAGGCACAGTAAGCAACAGAACCACAACCCCAACCATTTATTATTGCTGGAGCTTCTGTTTTGGACATCATCAGTAGGACAAGTTCCCTTTCTCCTGATGCGGGAAGCATACTCTTACCCTGAACTTCTTCACAGAGTCACTTCCCAACAACTGGGAGGAGCCGCACTCCTTGGGCTGTTTCAGGAAATGCCAAGAAATATT